TACTCTGAGCTCCTCCCGGGTGACCGAGCTCCTCACCCTATCTTTAAGGGTGCGCCCGGCCACCCTGCGGAGGAAGCTCATTTTGGCCGCCTGTATCCGGGATCTTGCCCTTTTGGTCATGACCATAGGTGAGAGTCGGAACGTAGATCGACCAGTAAATCGAGAGCTTCGCCTTACAGCTCAGCTCCTTCTTCACCACGACGGACCGGTACATCGACCGCATTACTGCAGAAGCTGCACCGATCCGGTTTCTCCACTACAACAAAGAAATCCGTGTCAAAGATCAACGTCCTCTGAACATTAGTAAACTAAACAAGAGTGCTAACGTTAATCTAGTCCAGATATATTCAATATGTTATGCCACCGTTCCCATAACGCTGGCAGTCAAACTACAGAGCCAACAGGGGATACGTGGCTAGTTATCACTAAGTCATGGAAACATTTCCTAGAAGCAAATCTTAACAATTAACCTCGTTGTTAAAATGAACATGCTAAAGCAAAACAATAGCATACCGGAAGGCTAAGCACAGACGGAACTAATTAGAGTGCACACACCTGGCTCGCCTTCAGCTCGGGAGGCTTCTTGCTAACAGAGCTTTGCTAACGTTACACACCAACATTAAACTCTCACTAACGCCAGATAAAGTAGCCTTACATCTGCATACCCACAGAACGCTGCACAATTGCAAAAGAAATACAGCAGGCCAACCTCATCATCAGTGAGCCGTGGGCGTCCATGACCCTGTCACCAGTTCACCGTCTATCCTTCCTTAGACGCTATTGTCTTGATGGCTAATATACCCCACCCCCTGACAGGTGGCTGTAACGAGCTCATCAGCGTTATTCACGTCACCTGTCAGTGGCCATCTTCTTCCTCCTCCTTTCTTCTCCTTCCTCCTCCTTCTTGAACATTTTCACAGTATAAAATCTTTCTCCAGCAGCCAGACAGACGGTATATCAAACTTCCATGTTTTACACTATTTTGCAGATTTGATGAGCTGAGATTTGAGAACACAGTTAATGCCACTACATCAGAGACAAGCAAACAATGTTCAGACAATCAGACAAGACAACAGCTAAACGACATTTCTGGAATTTAAATCAATCCCTGATTGCACAGGAAACTATGTGCAAACTACAGTGAGCACAGTAGTCCAACATTCAATGAGGCAGTCTAATAAACTATGACAAAAGTTTGGGTAAAAACTGTTTCCCTTTGTTGTTCCTTCCAAATACATTTGTCAAACCCCAGGGTTTGTGCCACATAGAACAACATGGGTTTGATATTTGAACAAACCCTGACTTCACAGGCATTTATCAGATAAGACATGTTAAGGCAAAAGAAAGAGGAGGAAGGAAGGAAATGCTGCAGAGTTCTTGCAGAATAGCGAGGCACTCTTTTGTTAAGACTTGATGGACGATGAATTATAACCCTCATCTCAACCAAGTATTCTGGCTAGTTTCCATCTGTGTTAATGATTTGAAACCAGTGCCAAAAGATTAGCTCCTGTCATACAGCTTCAGGGAAGCTACACTGCTGATGACTTAATATGTTACTGCCCGCTAATAGCTGGTATAGCCACACAGCTTACAGTTAATACAATATTTGTTCTAGCAGTAATTTCTCCCATACTACTTATGCCTTAACACTTGGCAGAACTTTGATCCCGCAACCCGAGGTAACGCTCAATGGCAAGGTTTTGTAAAAACTAATGCCAACAGCCTTACATTATTGTGAACTAAATTACAGTATGATGTTAGGGGAAAAAAAAATATGGTTATGGCAAATAACACATGGCTAAAACATGATTAGGGGTAGACAACTAAAACACCTGGTTAAGGAAGATTGTAGTCTTGGTTAAATATTTTTAAGCTGGCAGTGACTTGAAGCATGATGCCATTAGGGGACACTAACCTTAACCTAAACCTTAACCTAAACGTTACCACATATGGGGTGGTAAATAGGCCTGTAGCACATCTGACTTTCATGAAAGAGAATGGTGATGAGTCCTATTAATGGCTTGCAATTAATGGGACTTATCACCACAGTCTTTTCCCTAACCTTTACCTAGCTGTGGGTACCTAAACATAAATAAATGTCTTTTAATTGTGCTTCTGTTATATTTCAGTGAAGGAAGATGCTGCATTACAAGAGTGGAGACTGTAAGGCAACATGCGAATATCATTGTCAATTAACATTTTGCAGATATATTCAGCATCAACGCTTTGCAACTTGGTAAAATGCCATTATTACCCAAAGGAAAGATTGTTAAAACTAAAAGAATCTAAGTAGTAACAAACCAGAATTATCATTTAAAGTCAATTGCTGTATAATCTATAGATCCCTTCAGGCTCTGCATGTGTTGTGAAAGCCATGCTTTGGTCAATAGACTAATCAAACCTTATTTCTGAAGGCCTTCCCTCTCTTCTCAGTGTTGACACAAGTGGTTAGGAGGAACAGCACACAGAGAGGAAGAGTGAAGGCGTAGGAGTAAACTACTGGCACTGCACAGCTTCTTTGCATGAGAGGAAAATTGTTTTTGACCACTGGGGTTTGCAGTTCCACAGTTCACAACTACATTGTACTGTTTTACCTACTAGCCTGTTTTCTTTTTTCCTCTACAGTGATACAGTATCTCCAAATGATGGCTGCTCGCCTGCCAAACTGGCTGTTAGTCACTTTCACTGCCTTTTATTCAGGGTCAGAGAAAATGTTATTTGTCTGCTAATAACAGTGATCTCATTTTATAGTCATGACAGCTTGTGACAGTTAAATTGTTGAAAATATAAACGGTGCTGATAACCTGTGTTATACTCATTCAGTGGAAAGTGAGTCAAATCCTGTCCTGACATGTGTGAAACCACACACAGACAGGCGTGTTTCCATAACTTCAGGTGACATTACACTGGCTTCCATTCATTGCTGGGACCCTAACCCCGAATGGGACCCTAACCCCAGCCACTATTTCCCTAACCCTAATTCCTAACCTCATCTTTAAACCAAGTCACCTCTCTAAAATGTAATAATTAATAGTCACCACCACAACTGTGGCACAATGAATTTGCTATTTTGAAAGTACAGTGACAGGAGATAAGATTCACTTTGGTGTATGGGAGATATAATGTCTGCAAATGTATTTTTTCTTACACAGTGTGCTGTTTTACACACAGTTACATCTTATGCTTAGCTTAGCTTAGCTTTTTGTGCAGGCTTTACATGCATCATTCT